TTAATGAAATTACTATGGATCATTCGTCATTGACATTCAACAAAAAGTAATATTTAAAAAAAACATAAGAATTCATTTTTTTAAATAACAATTCTCTCCTTTTTTTCCAAATTAAAAATATTTCACTAAAAACAAGAATAATAAGTAAAATATTTTTCATTATTTTTCAAAATATATCAAAATACGAAACAATTTGAAAAACATGATAAATAAAAATAAATTGGTACTAAAAGACAAAGAAAGTGATTTTTCATTCTCTTTCTCTTTTTATTTTTTTTTTCTTGGTGGTGAAGAATTTGTAAAGATAAATGACGGAGATTGCAAACACGAAGTGTGTATTGTTTTCTTCGTGAAAAAGTTGCACATGGACTTGGAAACAAGTTACTTTCTAAGACGAACTTTTTGAAAAAACCCAAAGCTCTTTTCCGGTTTGCTTGTCTTGAATTTATTGTAAGAGACGAAAACCCCTAAGGGACTTTGGGTTTGGAATTCAATTAGAGACTCAACATGCGAGTTTCTTAGTCGAATATTGGAAGATTCGTTTTTCGTTGATATATAATTCTGTGTGGAAAAAAACTTTTTTTTTTTCTTGAAACAAAAAGCCATTTCACGTTTTTTTTTTTGTTACTGTATATCAAGTTAAGTGGAATCACACGAACGCACGCGATTTCTAGACAGTGTGTATGGGTGGTCAATTAGAAAAACTTTCACGACTTTGATTACCTTTATCAAGAATAAAAGCATGTTGTGTGTGTAGAACAAGAATTCTCGTTTAATGAATGTCACGTAATGGTTATAAAGATACTGCATTCACTTAATGTCAAAGATATTTTTTAATCTCCCATAACAATAGTTCTAACAATTTTATCATAGTTTTATTGATTAAAATCACTTTTTTTTTTTTAATTCAAAATTATCACAAAAAAATGTAATAATTTAAAGTAGTTTTCATTTAATATATTAAAAGTATCACAGAAAATTAAAAGACATTAAAATAAGCTGCAACGCTTATTATTTTAATCCAATTTTGTTTATTTTAATACCAAAATGGATTAAAATAAGCAAAATTTTACTACCGGTAGTCATTACCGCTCCCGAATATTCACTACCGGTAGTCACTACCGGTAATTTTTCCGGGACTAACGGTAGTCACTATCGGTAATTATTCCGGAACTACCGGTAGTCACTACCGGTTAATTTATTTATTATTATTATTATTATTATTATTATTATTATTTTAATTTATTTATTACCAAATAACAAATTTTGATTGTAACTCCCGGAAAAATTACCAGTAATGACTACCGGTAGTAATGAAAAAATTACCGGTAGTGACTACCGGTAGTAACGAAAAAATTACCGCTAGTACCGGAACTACCGGTAGTTCCGGAAAAAAGTCCTGGAAAAATTACCGGTCGTGACTACCGGTAGTGAATATTCCGGTAACGGGAGCGGTAATGACTACAGGTAGTCACTACCTAGAACTTTTCCACCTAGGTAATCTAGGAAAAATTACCGGTAGTGACTACTGGTAGTACCGGAAAAATTACCGGTAGTAACTACCGGTAGTACCGGAAGAATTACCGGTAGTAACTACCGGTAGTACCGGAAGAATTACCGGTAGTAACTACCGGTAGTACCGGAAGAATTACCGGTAGTAACTACCTGTAGTACCGGAAAAATTACCGGTAGTAACTACCGGTATTACTGGAAGAATTATTGGTAGTAACTACCGGTAGTACCGGAAGAATTACCGGTAGTGACTACCGGTAGTCCCGGAAAAATTACCGGTAGTGGCTACCGGTAATCTAGGAAAAATTACCGGTAGTGAGTACCGGTAGTACCGGAAGAATTACCGGTAGTGACTACCGATAGTACCGGAAAAATTACCGGCAGTACCGGAAGAATTACCGGTAGTGACTACCGGTAGTCCCGGAAAAATTACCGGTAGTGGCTACCGGTAATCTAGGAAAAATTACCGGTAGTGACTACCGGTAGTACCGGAAAAATTACCGGCAGTACCGGAAGAATTACCGGTAGTGACTACCGGTAGTCTCGGAAAAATTACCGGTAGTGGCTACCGGTAATCTAGGAAAAATTACCGGTAGTGACTACCGGTAGTACCGGAAGAATTACCGGTAGTGACTACCGATCGTACCGGAAAAATTACCGGCAGTACCGGAAGAATTACCGGTAGTGACTACCGGTAGTCCCGGAAAAATTACCGGTAGTGGCTACCGGTAATCTAGGAAAAATTACCGGTAGTGACTACCGGTAGTACCGGAAAAATTACCGGCAGTACCGGAAAAATTACCGGCAGTACCGGAAGATATACCGGTAGTGACTACCGTAGTCTCGGAAAAATTACCGGTAGTGGCTACCGGTAATCTAGGAAAAATTACCGGTAGTGACTACCGGTAGTACCGGAAAAATTACCGGCAGTACCGGAAGAATTACCGGTAGTGACTACCGATAGTACCGGAAAAATTACCGGCAGTACCGGAAGAATTACCGGTAGCGACTACCGGTAGTTCCGGAAAAATTACCGGTAGTGGCTACCGGTAATCTAGGAAAAATTACCGGTAGTGACTACCGGTAGTGAATATTCCGGTAGCGGAAGCGGTAATGACTACCGGTAGTCACTTTCGGGAACTTTTCTACCTGGGACAGTTCCCTGTTTAGTCAGACATTCAATAAATATTTTCTTTTTCGAAATATGAAAAAAAAAATTCTAAAATTCTAAAAATTTTAATATCAGCGCTACATTAAGGAAACACGTTTATTAGAGTCAATTTTGTCATTTTGGAATTAAAATTATAGTTTAAGAAAATATGTTTACGTTGAGAGAATATGTATAGAGTGTGTGATTGAAATTCATGAGGTAAGATATATTGACAATGGATCTCATGTTTATCCAAGTTGTTTTAGCCTCGTTAACATATCTGAAACTTCAATAGAAACTGGTAGAAGTCAGAACTTACACCAGTTCTTGTAATAGTTGCGGGTATTTGGATTGTCGTCGTCGTCGTCGTTGAGCTTAGCGAAATGATAACCTAATTAGAAACCCAGAGTGAACTTCATTTCGTTAACATATCTATTTAAACAAAATATATAAATTCTTTTAAAGTTCAATTTTCCTTATATAATTTATTCTTATTCTCTTTTTTTCAATTCTCAATAGTAGAAGTTTTAAAATCAAATTTTAAATTTTATTTTCCACTGAAAAAAAAGAGATTTTTTTTTTTATTGCTAATAAAATGAAACTCAAGAACGCATAACAAGAGTTAATTGAAAATGAATGAAAGAAAATCTACAAACAGAGTTTCATTCACCTTTTTTATATGACCTTTTAATTTATATAGTCTCTCTCTCTCTACTTTAAATTCTTTTTTTCTACCCCTCGCGAGAAATTAAAAAAAAAAAAGAAAAGTTGACAGAGAATAAAAAAAAAAATTGAAAGAAAAATAAAATGCTCTCTTGATTTTTGATATATAGCTAAGAATCCTTTTTGCTGTATAATCGAATTCCAATCGCGCCACCACTCGTATTGCGCGCGCTATCAATTAGTTTACAATTCCGTTACTCGGGATACAATTGCTAACCATCATCAGAGATGCGCGCGATCGGTCACGTTTATTAATCGAATCAGACTTCAATTAGCTGACATAATTACACATCAGGGATATCTTGGACTGGTCACACAGAATTGTAGGATTGTCTGTGGCTTTTCAATGACTGGGTCCTTTGTTGTGTAATTAATGAGCGACTCAGTGATTATTCACGACTATTAAACATGCTTTAAAGTGACGCGCTCTACTCCATCAACTTCCCAGGCACTTGTTTTTTTTTTTTTTTTTTTTTTATTATTATTTCTTTCAAGTACTTTTACACTCTTTTAAAACCACTTTCCCCTCTTCTCTACTTTTTACTTCATGACTCGCTTTGTGAAAATACTTGATTTTTGAAGTTAAAATAATTTCCAAACAATTTGCTTTAAATTTTTTTTCCACAGAAAATTAAATGGCATTAAAATAAGCTGCAACGCTTGTTATTTTAATCCAATTTTGCTTATTTTAATACCAAAATGGATTAAAATAATAAGCATTGCAGCCTATTTTAATGCATTTTAATTTTCTGTGTAATTGGAGAATATTTTTTTTTCGTCAATTTTTTTGGAATTAGTTGGGACAAAATTATATGATCCGCAGTACTAATGGATTTCTCTCGAGTGGATAAGAAAATGTTTACATAAACGTGTCCATAAAGGAATGATGCCAACGAGATATCCATTGTCCCCGAAAATCTCAATTGGTTTACATTTCACGATTAAGTAATCAGAAACGAAAATTTCCCCTCCTTCAAACTCTATTGAAATAAGAAATTACTTTTCGTTTGCCTATCATCCAGCGGGAATTGAAGAAAATTTCGTTACAAATTTTTTTTTTTTTATCTCCAATTAAAAAAAAAAACTTCAAAGAACTTTAATATAAATTAAGCTTTGTTTTCTATATATATAAAGAGGGAGGGTGAAAAAAATACAAAATATATACTAGACATGTTGAACAGAAAAATAGCAGAAAATGATGATTTGTAAACCGAGAATTGTTGCAGCACTCGTAAATATTCTTCCTTGGCTCAGCCGTCGCTGAGGAGAGACTAATGCGAGGAATAAACAAACTCGTATATTTCATTTAGCTGTTTTCCTCACATTCTGTGGCCTCTTTTACATCCCATCCTTGCCTTTTCTGTTTATCACTCCATAACCCTCAGGGTCTCTGTGTGTTGAAAGCACTGTTATTAAATCGTTCATACTTTCTTTTTTTTTTTTTTTCGTTCTTATAAAACCTTTAAATTATACCTGCTTTTCATTTTTAGTAATTTTTTATTTCCCACAAACTGTGAGGGAATTTTTTTTCCGTATTTTAAAATTCGATTTATTAAATTAAATTATATTTATAATAATAATTTTTTATTAATGTAAATTTTATGTTTTGTTACAGATTGTAAGAGCTCAAACAAACACAATGAAGAAAAATGAAGATAACCGAACGCTATCGCGTAGAATAAATTTTATACTGGGGGAAAAAAAAATTGTGTAATAAAGTCTTGGGGTTAGAAATATTTTTCAAAAAAAAAAGAAAAAAAAAAAAAAAGTATTTTAAAACTTTTTTTACATGGTGCATAAGGGAGAGAAAGATAAATTTAACGGATCCCCAGGCCGGTTATGTTGAGAATAGTGTGATATTGCCTTGATGTAAACGGTATAAGATGCCATTACAGACACCAATATAAAGTTTGAAATTCAAGTATCCGCGAGCGAGGGTAGTGCTTTTTCGATCGTTAAATCCATCCCTATTACTACGTTTTACAGACTATTCTCTATCAAGTGCAAACAGCACACTCGATTATTTTTTACGTAAAAAAAAAAAAAAAAAAACCAACCCACAAGTTAAATCCAATGTCTCTGTTTTTCACACCTCAAATTATTATCTTCAATCTATATTTTACCATAAAACACAAACTTTAATCAGTCACAAAGATAAAAAAGAAAATCTTATTTTACGATACTTTTAAAGTTTTAAGAAAATTTTTTACACCTGCAAAAATAATAATTAAAAAATAATTTTTATTATAATACTTTTAAATTTGCAATCAACTTATTTTTATTAAATTGACTCTAATTAAATTTTTCAAGTGTTGATAAAAAAAAAAAAATTCGAGAATTAAAGAAAAGAATAAAAAAAAATTTTTTTACAATGTTTCACGAGATTTGACTTTGATGTTTAATTACATATTGTGTGTGTGTGTGTGTGACAAAAGGTTGGGTTAAAAGGTGTCGTGGAAATAAACTGTCGTCGATTAAATCGTATGAGGCAACATCTATCGATAGCGCAAGAGCGTGATGAGGCACACAAGGGTTCGTTCACATCGACCCCGGGGGATGTAACCTTTGCCAAAAAGGAAAAAAAAAAAAAAAAAGAAGAAAAAGGAAAGATCAGAGAGAGAGAGAAAACTCTCATCGAAGAATCGAGCCAACCTGAAGATGATATTGAGGCACAAGACTGATTGAAAGTGAGAAATGGCGGCGTGTGAGGCTGCTAGTTCAATGAGTGTGGTACGCTGGGGATTGTGGTTAGCTGTTCTTTTTTTTGCGGTCACACCTTTCGTTTATTCGCAGCTAACATGGACTCCAATTTACGTTGGATACAGTGAGTAATATTTATTCTTTTTTTTTTTATCAATAGTATATCTCTCTTCCATTCGCTTCACCTCATTTATTTACATTTACTATTTATTTTTTATTTACATTATTTTATTATTATTATTATTATTATTATTATTATTATTTTATTATTATTATTATTTTTATTATGATTATGTATTATTAAAATTGAAACAATGTCTGACTAAAACTAAAATACACCACTTGTTTATCTTTATTTTTTTTCTAATAAAAGATAAATTTTAGTATATAGAAAAAAAAATTCCTTTAAAAATTGTTTTTTGTCAAATAAATTTTTTTTTGTCTGACTAAACAGAAATCTATACTACTGGAATTCTTGTCATTTAATAAATTATTCGCTACAAAAATTACCGACAGTCTGATCAATCACTGTCTTATACACTAGACTTCAGACCAATCTTTTTTCCAATATAATTATTTATTCGTCTGACTATACCACTGAGCTGTACCACTGAAAATCGTATTTTAATATATTAAAACATAATGAATAAAATTATTGATTTTTCCAAACTATTATATTCTTGTCTATGTCAAAACAATTTTTTTTTCCAATTAATTTTCCTATTTCTTGTATACGTCTGACTAAACGGATACATATACTACAGTATTATAAGAATTAAACTAGAAATAATTCTATCCAATTTTTATTTGCCAATTACAATTTATGGGAAAAATTTCAAAAAAAAGTTAATTTATTTCTATATTCATTAAGCAAAGTGAATTTAATTTAAATATAGTAAAAGTGTATTTTAATTAGACAAGATGAAAGGAAAATATTTTTTGAGTGCCGACATAAAATCCTCTTATGAAGTACTTAAAAACTTAGTTCAATGTGATAATCACTAAACGAAATGATGACTAAAGAATATATATAGATTTTGCCTGACTAAAACACATTTATACTACTTAAATAATGTATGTTTCACTGTTAATTTATAAATATATATAGAAATATTTATTTAAATATATTTAAAAATAAAAATTATATTTTTTTCAAAAAATTCGAATTTACTATTTCAATAATTAAATAATAAATTAAATAATTAAATAATTAAATAATTTACATAAAATAAAAAATAATTTTATTCTAAAAAAAATTTTAATAAAAATTTTATTTTAAAAATAAAAATTATATTTTTTTCAAAAAATTCGAATTTACTATTTCAATAATAATTAAATAATAAATTAAATTAATTTACATAAAATAAAAAATAATTTTATTCTGCTAATTTATTGATTTAATATCAATAATGATAAAAAATGAATTTGTTGGGTTCACAATTTTGCAACAAAAGTTCAAATATTGCAAACGTAACAAAATAAATTTTCTCCTTGTGGTGGCAATAAACAGGGGAACCAAGGTGTCATTTAAGAAGGAAGGGTGACTGTTACTGTTGGTCACGTTTTATGAGAAGTTGGCTTGCAACTTTTTTACGATCGTCATTTCATTTCGTGTGTCGAAATGTGAAGAAGGCTACTTCCTCTTTTTTTATATATATGTTTTTTTTTTACTTCAAAAAAGAAACTTTTTTTATCACCAATATAAAACAAGATAAATCTCTTTGAAAATTGCTTCATTAGACAGCAATTACATATATTGTTTAAAGAAAACTGAGTTTTATACAAAAAAAAAATCTTTTTGTTATTATACTTTTTTGGGAAAAAAATAAATAAGAGCTCAATGAAAAAAAAAAATGGATAATTTTAAAAAAGAAAGTAGTTTGACAAAACAAGGAAATGAAGTTTTCTTTAGTGCATTAAAGAGCGAGAAGAAACTTGAAGAAAACTCGAGTCTTATTTATAAAATCTTTTTTTCAAGGAGTTGATTGTAACACCGCACTGATTAAATAAAGCGAGTTACAAGATTGTTCGCAAAGGTCGATGAGGCGTAGTAAAAGTTTTCGTCGAGTTCTCTCTTGTTGAGATTGTGTGGAGGGGGGGGGGGAGGAAAACTTCCCTTGGAATATGAGAGTAAAATAAAGTTGGCTTCAAGTTTAAAGTTTACGAAACTGGCAGTTTTGTTGTCTGTTAATTAATCAATTAATTTAAAACATTTAACGCTCTCTTTTGCTACTGCGCTTTTATCGAATATCAATAACGTTTATCATTATCATCATTTTCTGTATATATTTCAAATACACCGTAACGTTACAAGTTTCCTCTCTTGTTCATCATCTATATATATATATATAAAAGCAAGACCATCCTTTTCAAGCGAGTTATTAAAACGGCCCTCCATCTCTCGTGGGAACCCTTGTTCTCCACCGTTAATTAGAGTACAGTCTGGTACTGACGACAGCCAACTGCAAAGGAGAGTTTCGTCCTCAATGTCCCTTTCTCTCTCTCTCTCACTCCTTTTCCAACCCTCGTCTTTCCTACTTAACTCTGCTCGACACCACTAACACGATGTTTGTGGCTTGAATTATTCCGACAAGATATCATATCCGTACATACGCAAAAGCAGGCACAACATTGCTTACAACATTCAACTGTATATAGTATATATAAATTTCTCCAACTTCTCTGAAATAACCCTCAAAATTAAAGCAGTTTAACCTCTGCATTTGATTCATATGATAATTTTATATCATTCTCATCGTCGGAGAGAAAGAGAGTATTAGATTCTCGAGGATTTTCCACTTTATTTCACGGTTCAGGATTTCATCATATATATATATATATGCGGTATAAAAAGTAGAATGTTTGGCGAACATGAGTTTTTAGTGCTAAGCTATTAAAATGCTTTTACTTCTTTTATATATTTTTCACTGTCGTACAACAACAAAAGCCGCAAGGTAATATCAACAGAAAAAAAAATCATAATCAGTTTCTTTTTTTCACCAAAAAAAAGGACAGATTTTGAGAATATTATTTATTAAAGAAGATCAAAAAGAATATTGCTCGTGAATTCAAGTAAAGTAAAAAGGGCGTAAAGAAATATATTCACGAATATATATTCATTCAACGAATAAGAAATGTTTGCAGAACACAAAAAAAAACAGTTGGATACGTGAAGAGAAATTTTTCAAAAAAACTTCATTTTTATACACGTAGAAGAAAATTTATACTTTATAAAATTGTGATAATTGTCAAGATTTTTTAATATTAATTGTTTTGTCGACGTAATAAATGAGTAATAAGAACAATATAGTTAATTATTAAATAATTTTTTAATTAATAATTAATATTTTTGAGAAAAGGGATATTTGTTCCAAATATTTATATACTAAAATTTCCCATTAATTATAAAAAAAAATTATTAATTTTTTGTACACTTGACGATATCTTGAATATATATAGGAGCACGTTTTCGATTGATTTCTAGTTGCAAAACCCTCCGTGCGTCTTCGAGAGAAGCGCAGAAAGTCTTGATTACTTTTCGATCCGTAAAACGTGGATTGAATGATATTTCAACAAGTTTTCTCGATCTCGAAAAAGTTGTTTTTTTCCGATTATATATATATATATGTCCCTAAATCTGATACATTCGAGAAAATCATATAAATTAGAAATAACAATAACTCAACAAAATTTGTTTAATAAAAAGTGTTTGCTATTTTCACTAGTGCAGATTTAGTCAAACATACATAATTTCACAGAAAATTAAAAGGCATTAAAATAAGCTGCAACGCTTCTTATATTAATCCAATTTTGCTTATTTTAATACCAAAATGGATTAAAATAAGCAAAATTGGATTAAAATAATAAGCGTTGCAGCTTATTTTAATGCCTTTTAATTTGCTGTGTTTCAGTAGTACAGGTTTCGTTTAGTCAGACATAAAAAAATTATAATTAAAACAGATTGATTTTAAGTAGAAGAAACCAATGTTTGGTCAGACCCTTTTTTTATAAAATAACTAATTTTTCAGTAGTACAGTCCAATGTTTAGTCAGGCGTCAATTTTTTTTTTCTATTTTACTCTATTTCACAAGTTCTAATTACTAAATTCCTAGAAAATTATTTACTTTCCTTACTAGCAAAAAATTTGTTTCAACTTTGTAATTAAAAAAAAAAAAAATCTTCCTTGCAATTATCCAAAAAGGATAAAATAGCAAAAGTGAAAAATTAAAAGGAAAAGAAATTCTGCAAAGAATGAAAAAAAGAAATAATATATGCGAGTAAAAAGAAAAAAAAAATTTATACGACTTTTTTTTTTATACAAAGATAATAGGGTCGGAGGTCTAATCGAAATTTTCTTGGATAATGAAGCTCGGAAACTATTTCCTTAATTAGAGGCTCAAGGTAGTTGAGGTATAATGAGGAAAGCTGAAGCTCGATACGATATTTTGTGGCTATGAACAATGTTGCTTTTAAACTCGTCGTGAAATATCGCTCAAGCCTTGTAAAAGTTAAGCGAACTTGGGTGTTCGATCACACAAAACGGGTGAGCTTAGTGCACTTTAAAGTCATAGGAAGAACACGAAACCATTATCAACTTGTATATATATATATATATATATATATATTTATTATATATATATATAGAAAGAGAGGAAGAGAGAGAGAGTACACAGGTGCGGTGTTGGGAGGGTTCCTGTGGCCTTTATCAAAACCAAACTAAACTGTAATCCTGTTTTCTAAATGAAAAGTAACTTCGACGAGAGCGTACATAGTGGCAACCACAAACACTATATTCAACTGTTTCGTCTCTCTATACAAGAACTTCAATTCCCCCGTTGTTTTAGGAGTCAGTCTTATTTACCGTCATGCAAGAAATTTCCCCATCCGTATATTATTTAATTAAATTAAACACACACGTTCCCATAAAAAGAACACTACTATTATTAAAAAAAAAATATATTTTCAAAAATTTCAATAAATAATTTCGTAATTTTTGAGATGATTAATATATAAAACATATATATTATTGTCAGCAAATTATTTAATTTTCATTTATATTAAAATTGATTTTCTTATTTCTGGAAAATAGAGCGAAATTCAATTGTCATTTTCAGATCAGGTCAA